CAGTATTTTGAGCATTAGATCTTTTCTCAGGATGTCCATGTTACCAAATTCCCATTGGAAGTTATTGACCACTTTTGTTCCATGCTTAATGAGGTCTCGGGCAGATAGAATTACTCCCACACCACAGCTCCCAGAACCAATCAAGTTGTTGTTGTATTGCACTTGTGATGGCATGCCAAACCGCTCATAAGAACTGCAAGAGGTCCAAAACTGTGATTTCAGTAATTTGGCCATGGGAAGAATTTCAACAAGATTGTCAAGTGCTTGCTTTAGGAATGGCAAAAACAATCTTGGCAGTTGAAACTTCATGCCATCATCAAAAAAGATTCTTTGTTGCTGTAAGTCTACATACATCAGACCCSAGTGGTTGGTCATGTATACAGGAGCAATGATTTGTGTTAGGGTGTCTGGTTGTGGAAGAGCMKTGGCTTGTCTTTGTAGTTGGTTTTTCTTGTAAATGCTGTCAGTGTTCTCCATCCATACATAGAATTCAGTGGGTAAATAAAGAATGCATCTAGTACTTTCCTTGATGAACTGTTCAATAMAAACATCTATAACAAAATTGTCAATATATCTCTCCTCCGCCAGGCAGGTAAATGACATCACATCTATGGATTTGTTGCCAATCTTCAAGATGGTATGATCTGGTGGCAGCTTCCAAAGAGCATTTTCGATGAGGGCTCTGTCTCTAGAGTTGAGATTAACTTGTGAAAGCCAATTCAMCTCTCCATCAATGAAACGCTTTGTTTCTCCTACTTTGYAAAACRTCTTTAGTACTGCCAAACTCTTCTCATCAAATGACCCCACTCCATTTATTGCCACCCCTTTCACACCTTTTTTCCTAACCTTTCCTTCTGCATCCTCCACAACAGCGARCTTGGGTAGTTTGGGCACAAGCCATGGATCATCTGACTTGAAATGGCTGCAAATAGTGGTTATTCTRCAGGAATCTGACATCGGGACTTTAGGAATCCTTGGATAAAGTAGTGCTATTTCACATCTGCTCTTACATTAGATAATGGCACCACAAATATCTTGATCACTTCTTACAGTGCTATTTGCTGCACATGTAACGTCATCGTCATCATCAATTGTAATCACACTTTTAAATTGTGTTGTAGAGCTAATTGCTTGTTTTGGAATTGACTGAACTGGTGAGGAGTGGACTACACTAGTCTTGACAGGAGAGGAGTGGACTACACTAGTCTTGACTGGAGAGGAGTGGACTACACTAGTCTTGACTGGAGAGGAGTGGACTACACTAGTCTTGACTGGAGAGGAGTGGACTACACTAGTCTTGACTGGAGAGGAGTGGACTGGACTAGTCTTGATTGGAGTAGCCTGGACAGGATTGGACTGAGCAGGAGTGAGCTGGACTGGAATAGAATGAACTCCACAGGACTTGACTGGAGTTGACTGGACTGAAGGCGATTTCAATTTGATCTTCTTTTTCTTGGGCGACTTGGTGGCATTGACTGCCGAGACACAATTTTCATAACCATTTTCCCAGTCACTGTGATTGTACATTTTCAAATTAGAGGCAACATCTTCATCCACATATGTTCCCTTGTCTTTGTGGTAAGTATATTCGAGAAAGTCTCCACCTAGAATTTCTGAGAACAATTCATCCATGGCCAACACCCACTTCTTTTTCTCATCTGACCAGGCAGTAATATCAGSCTTATAGTTTTTTGCACATCCACGATAGCTTAATTTAGTTTTACCTTAAAATGAGAGCACAATAGACCTGTTTTTTCTTATACTCTGTGTTATAGACTTAAAACCGTGTAATGCATTGCAAATTATTTAGCATAAGCTCGTGCAGTACAAGGGATCYATGAGTGTGGCATCTTACCTGTTTCTAAACTCTCTTTTGCTTTTCTAAACTTGTATCGCAGCCCAAGTAACTCTGTTGCATACCAATGTGTAAGCATCTGATCAACTGTATCATAAAACAATTGAAGATATTAACTGAAAAAATTCATARTAATATCTTATTTATAAGATTGGACGTACGTGACTGCCCTGGTGCAGATGCATCATGGTTGGTTGCTTTGGAGTAGAGTTGCCSGTRAAGCTTGTGTGATGCCTCGAAGCCTTGTGTTGAGTACTTATAGAGGGAGCGGAATTCTCTCAATAGCATARAACTGTGGTSTATAACAAGGTGACCATAGTCTCCAGTGCCAAGATGCATGCCAAATAAATGCTTTAGAAGATRACCCCATTCTTTGCACTGTATATATCATACAATAAATAGAATTACTACTGATTCATGAACTTGTTAATATTGGTGGTATTACTGRCATCTTTTTTATTCTTTTACAGAACTTGTTTTTAGGTTGGCTTTTAAGACATTGCACATATTTTTAACATTTAAAATCCACCATGTACAGCCTGCGTGTGCGTGCGTGTGTGTTATAATTTTTTGTAAGGTTTTGATATGATTGTCTCACTTAATGTCAGAATCCAACCTACCTGAAGGTCGTAAATATCAATCTGCTGCTCTTGAAGTTCATCAGATTCAAAAATCTTTTCGCGCAGAATTTCTGCTATGTCTTTCCACTCTGTACATACCTAATGAATTATTAATGATTGATAGCAATGTTTTATGCTTATTTTCTTTTAATTAGRTATCACATGGATTAAAACATTAGACCAATTCACACTTCACATGCACGTTTTGGATACAATTTCTAATATTAATGTAAATCCTATGAATATGTACACATATGAATAAGTCCAAAATAGTACATGATACTTCTAAATTAGCTAGTCCATCCTAGAATACATATGCTTTGAACATTATGTATTTAGAATGAATGCAGTAAATACCTTTACAAAAAAGTCAATCTGCAGTTGTGCAGCCAATCTTGAAAAATCAGCATTTACTGTTGATGTGCTTTTCTTTGTTTTTGTTTTTTTAGTTTTCTTGTTTTTTTCCCCTGCATTCTCTATCAATAGGAATTCCTCTTCCACCTTTCTTTGCATTAAACGCCAGTTTTTTTCAAGATCAACTAAGAATTTATGAACTTCTGTAGATCAGAAATTATCTGCATTATTAAATTTGACATTATAATAATTACTCACAATACCTAATATTGATGATAAAGATACAAGCAATGACAATGATGGTACTAAGTAATAAAAGTGAAGCTTGCAAATCCAAGAAGACATGTAAAAAATGACTTCATACCACCACATTTGTCAATTTCCACAACTTCTTGATGTGTTCCAAAATCTCGAATGATAGTGCCTCTCTTTAGTACATCACTAGCATACTACAAAAACGATAGATAAATTTACTAAATGTAAGATCAAATAAATGGTTGTAGGTTGGTCTATTCATTACGATGTAAGCGCTACTTCAACCTAAAAGTTATTTATTTCTGTCGAGCTTTCGGCTCACCGAGCCATTATCAAGACTGAATGAAAAATGTAATTGATTCAGCTGTAATATTTAACCATCAAAAAACATACATAACCATACATCATAGTTTGGTATGGCCAACTTTTGAATGCTGGTTCTGACTAAATAACTATTAAWGGGACTTTGAAATGACTAATTTAGACTAAGAAACAATTAGCATAATTGTGGTGAATGTAGTGCAGTTTAAAAGATACCTGATTTRAATCTAGTACAGGATGTAAGTTAACATTTAATCAATAAGCCAAATGTATTCAAAAGAAATATATTTAMAACCAGTATTTGTAAAATCAACCTTACAGGAAACCTTACCATTAACCGCTCTTCCATRAAAGTGACATAATTTAAAACAACATTTTTTGCAGCTTCTGGGCATTGACCATAGTATGTTACAACCTTTTCATGTGGTAGCCCCTGTCTAACAATTGTCTCAATATTCTTTAGAATTGCTCTTTCAGTGGATCCTAAAAAATGAATTATATAATATATAATTAATAAGACTAATAATACATACAATTCATGAAATTAAATTGTGTATCTAACACAAAATGTACTGTACATGACAGCACAGAGACATGACAATGCAATACATGCTTTGATTGTCTGATTCTAGCACACACTTGCTTACAATCCTTCATTATATTATACTATTAGAAAGGTTTTCACTGATTTTTCGTCAGAACATTTTACAAAAGTAAAGAAATATAGAGTGGTTGCTTGTACAACTGTGATATTCACACTCTACATTTTGGAGATTCATCACTGCACTGTGTTTCTGTGCTTACTTCTTTGTGTCTACTTCTCCCTGTGTGTGTTTATATCCAACACATAAACACAAAGACCATTCTATTATMTTTCTTRAATAAAATTTAACTTTCCCTAGTARTTACTTCATGAATGTATACTTTTAAATTGGTGTACTGTATCAAACAAAGTGGTATAATAAATAAACTATTGAAAAGTAAAGAACAAATCTTTTTTAAGTATCAGACGTAAGTATCAAAACTTATGTCAGATTTAAGAGTAAACGTGGACATGCAATAAATGATTACTGCCAGTATTTAGCAATATAAGTTTGAAATTTGTACRAGATTAATCTTCCTTGTTATGAATAAATGTTTTAATTAGCCTTACCTGAGAATGATGCAACTTTTACATTTTGCMTCTCAATAGCAGTTTGCTGGCCAGGTCTTTCATTTATGGTTATCCGTTTTGAATTCCTCTTCACCTCTGGCCCATAATCTGCAATCATCTCATTGAGATTGTCAAGGCATCCGACCCGTTCCGCAAATAGTCCAACAGACCCAAGAATTTGTTCTAAGTTTCTCATTTCACAGTGAAGAGAGCAGAGGTTGATATGACTAAGGTCTTCCTCAAGAAGAAGCATTAAATCATCTCTTATACCAACTTTTCTGAAAATATAACAGCCGACATAAAATATGTAAAGTCGACTATTTTTAAAGTTCATCAGTACTGTTCAATAGGCCTTATTGGATGCAAGCTTATCTCTGAGGGCTTTATGATATAAAACCAGCCAAAAAAATGTTTCTCAAAAAAATATTATTGCATGTTAAAAGGTAGGAAACTTAACAACCTTCCTATGTTTGCTTTTGCTGCAAGACACTGGAGACATGTTTCATCCTTATCAGCACCATGATCAGTACATGCCTTCAAAACACAATAAAAACAACAAAGTTTGAGATTTTAGCTATTGGAAGTTTACATGTTATCAATTTTATCAAATAGTACTCACCCTTACAGCATCACAAAATGCACAAAACTCGACATTGTATCCTTTCCCACCAAGAACAAAGTCATCATCATCTTTCTTCGGCAGAAGCTGTAAAAGGGCTTTGTAATCAACAGTCACTTGAGAAAAAATATATGTGTTATTGAAATGTACAATTTACTACCCATACAACAACACAATACTTACAAACTTCATAATTAAAGTAAATATTACTTACAGTTAGACAAAAAAATAGTATGAAAATATTATTAATATTATTTTCAAGAATATTTATAATCCACACATTTTGGACACTTAGATTTTTCTTAAAAACAAAATTACCCAAAAGAGAATTTAATTAAATAAGTTATGTGATTAATTTATGTGATTARGAGATACCTGTAAACTTAAAATTGTAGTGTCTTCCATCAATAGTCAGTCCATGCTTCTTTAGTACCCTCTTTTCAGCATTCAGTTTTGCAATTAACTGTTTTAGATGCTTTCTATTAAAAGATAAAACACAATATACAAATATGTCTTGCAATTAAAATGTGTGTTATTATGAATAAATGTAAACTTGTGTATGATGATAATTTAATTCTATTAATTTATTCATCAGATTTTAAAAAGTGTTGGACAACATTTCATGTGAGAGTAAAATTATATAACATGAACATGGATTTGTTTATTATACACACCTTTCATCTTTACAGTTCCCGATGGCAATTGGATAAACAGACAAACTGCTCTGAGTACTTTTCGTGTCAAAGTTGATAGGTGCAATGCCTATAGCTGTTTGGTTTTTACCTTGAACATAAGATACAAAATCCAGGCGTTATTTAATATATTNGTTTTGAATTCCTCTTCACCTCTGGCCCATAATCTGCAATCATCTCATTGAGATTGTCAAGGCATCCGACCCGTTCCGCAAATAGTCCAACAGACCCAAGAATTTTTTCTAAGTTTCTCATTTCACAGTGAAGAGAGCAGAGGTTGATATGACTAAGGTCTTCCTCAAGAAGAAGCATTAAATCATCTCTTATACCAACTTTTCTGAAAATATAACAGCCGACATAAGATATTTTGGTTCAGTGACCATTCACAAAAGAATTGCAGATGAGGCTGTGGGGAAATAAAAGAATAAATCATGATTATCCATTGTTTTCCCAGAACCTTGAGTTCTTTTGAACATAGTCCTCGAACCAAAATATGTAAAGTCGACTATTTTTAAAGTTCATCAGTACTGTTCAATAGGCCTTATTGGATGCAAGCTTATCTCTGAGGGCTTTATGATATATAACCAGCCAAAATGTTTCTCAAAAAAATATTATTGCATGTTAGGTAGGAAACTTAACAACCTTCCTATGTTTGCTTTTGCTGCAAGACACTGGAGACATGTTTCATCCTTATCAGCACCATGATCTGTACATGCCTTCAAAACACAATAAAAACAACAAAGTTTGAGATTTTAGCTATTGGAAGTTTAAATGTTATCAATTTTATCAAATAGTACTCACCCTTACAGCATCACAAAATGMACAAAACTCGACATTGTATCCTTTCCCACCAAGAACAAAGTCATCATCATCTTTCTTCGGCAGAAGCTGTAAAAGGGCTTTGTAATCAAMAGTCACTTGAGAAAAAATATATGTGTTATTGAAATGTACAATTTACTACCCATACAACAACACAATACTTACAAACTTCATAATTAAAGTAAATATTACTTACAGTTAGACAAAAAAATAGTATGAAAATATTATTAATATTATTTTCAAGAATATTTATAATCCACACATGTTGGACACTTAGATTTTTCTTAAAAACAAAATTACCCAAAAGAGAATTTAATTAAATAAGTTATGTGATTAATTTATGTGATTARGAGATACCTGTAAACTTAAAATTGTAGTGTCTTCCATCAATAGTCAGTCCATGCTTCTTTAGTACCCTCTTTTCAGCATTCAGTTTTGCAATTAACTGTTTTAGATGCTTTCTATTAAAAGATAAAACACAATAAATACAAATATGCCTTGCAATTAAAATGTGTGTTATTATGAATAAATGTAAACTTGTGTATGATGATAATTTAATTCTATTAATTTATTCGTCAGATTTTAAAAAGTGTTGGACAACATTTCATGTGAGAGTAAAATTATATAACATGAACATGGATTTGTTTATTATACACACCTTTCATCTTTACAGTTCCCGATGGCAATTGGATAAACAGACAAACTGCTCTGAGTACTTTTCGTGTCAAAGTTGATAGGTGCAATGCCTATAGCTGTTTGGTTTTTACCTTGAACATAAGATACAAAATCCAGGCGTTATTTAATATATTCAAAGTATTATCTAAACTATAATAAGTTTTAGCCAGTTTTAGTTTTTTTATATAATTTTTTGTACTTATTATTATCTAACTCTGTATAGAGAAACAGCCAACATGACTTCTAACAAAAATGTAAATGTACATACCTCCTAAAGGTCTTCCATCAAGTTTAATATTGAATTCTAGTACTTGCGGTACCTCAGACAACAGGCACTGATCCCTGACAGCCCAGACTATAACAGACTTAAGGTCGACACAGCAGGCCAAGAAATCTGTTTCCATTGACCTTATATTCATTGACTTTCTTATAATGGTAAATATCAATCTTCTTATTGCCTTTATACTATTTTTTGTAAGGATAACAGGAGTGTCTAAATTATTCTGTAAGAGATTAAAATAGCATTTATAAATATTTCAAATCCCTTATCAAATACCAAAGTGATAATATTCATTAAACTAACTGTTGGGACATGGAGATAAAATGTAAACAAAAAAATTTAAATTTAAAATAGGTTATGTATAGTTTAAAACACGATCTCGAGTGTTTAAAACGGCTTCAAAAACTCCAAACAAACCATTAAAATTCTTGGAGAAATTGCCATACAAATATGTTCCCTGACATAAGTAGGGCAAACTGATCATGCGTGAATCACTTGACAAAGCACTCTTGTCATCCAACATTGAATACGCATAAAGTAAAATACAACCAATTGGTCCAATTGGACTAATCTTAATATCATCAATGCTTAATCCAATGCCACTGTCCGGGCTGTTTGGGCTTGAGTCACACGAAATTTGACAATTTATTCGTTCTAACTTGGTTTCAAGTTGTTTCAAATCGTTCTCTAGACTTGAAATGACACCTCGGCTGTGTTCGAGTTCTTTTTCTAGATCTTGGGAGTCATTCGGAAACTGCGCGCCAAAATCGTCGATCTCGCTTTTGGCGCCAATTTCATTAAACTTCACGGAATTTATGATTGAAACTACGTCTGCAAACTCTGCTGACAACACAAAGCCATCTTGAGCAAATTCTTTTTGCCTCAGAAGTCCACAGACAAGACCGAATGAGGAAACCACGTACACCTTCTTCGGCTGTCTATTGATCTTGCAGCCAACTGAAGCACACCGTAGATCGCGGGGATCAACACTTACAATTTCATTTGGAAAGTGAGTCGTGAACACTTCATTTCTGGCAAATGAATTGGGTATATATCCACAAAGTTCTTTGCTAAGGATATACCAATTTTTGTTGTTGTCCAGCGATGGCCCAGTGACTCGATTGAGCGACCAAGATCGCTGGTTACTTTCACCTCCCTCCGCCATTGAGAGCACAAACGTAATAACATCCAAACAAGAATCATTGTTAACGTATTTCGAAAATGCCGCCAGAAAATATATAAGTTAACCATAGAAAAATCACACGTTCTTCTCCAATACAGAAGCGACAACCGAATAATCTCATTAAAATTTTGCATGTGTAACCAGGCACGGAAACCCACAATAAATCACAGGTAGCCCACCTTCGGGAAATTATTAGATAAAGGTTTGTAAAGGGTACATTCACTAATAAATAGTGAGTCAGAGACAAAGAGCTACTGTATTTACCAAAAAAAGTTCGTAAACGATGCAGAGTAACAGTGTAAAGAAATTCGGAAAGCACTGGAGAGCAAGAAAGAAAGCGCAAGCAAAGCCCGGCAGTCAAAGGCGACGAACGTCCAATCTACTCATGACCATTGACTCGTGGGTTTTTTCGATCTATTTACGGAAATATACTGTATTTGAAAATGTATACATAAAAGCAATAGCATGAATACACAGCACATAAAACTGAGAAAGCACGGGGCGGTCGTGATAAAAACTACGGGTACGTCACGCAACGGCTGTATATGTTTATACCGGGCTGTTTTGTACACTATTCAAAGTATAACTGTAATATATCATACATGTAAATATTAAAACTTGTCCGAGTAAGGAGGACGTCTCTGACGATCGAATACGATATTTCGGCGTCAAGTCATAAATGCCGAAACTTCGTAGTATATTCCGGATCCTCCACGTCTTTTCGTATTATAAAAAATCTTTGGTTTTTCTACCTACACGGCGTACACCGACAAATTTTCATATTGATCTAGTGTACTAAAACTGTCAGATGGATATGATATTATTGAAATACACTACCATATGATACTCTTCTGTGGGATAGAAAAGTTTACCTATATAGAAGGTACTTATAACGCCTAGCCCCTATAATTCGCATACCAAAAGTATCGCATTACCTAGTGTAAATTGGCTGAGTGCACTTGGTAAGTGCACTCAGCCAATTAGTGCTCTAAATCTTTTTAGAGCTAAGCTCGTCATGGGGGAGAATGAGTGCTGCAGAAGAAATTCCACACAATGACATAACACTTGTAGATGAAGCATGTGGGAATTTCGTTATAACTAGCATGTCAAATAGGAACCAGTCCTATGAAGTAAAGTTTGGAGATGAGTCAAACATGCCTCACTGTGACTGCCAAGACTGGGCAAAGACATACCTAATAATAAAAAATAAATAAAGTCTTTTATTTTGAGAGGGTAGCACGTAATAGTCTCTAGACTAATAAACTTGTGGCCCTCTATATATTCACTCATACTCACTACCTCAACATTCATTATTTTACTACACGACACTCCTCACAGCTAGTTTTTTTTTCCCATGTAAGCACTTCTTTTCTATTTTTGAGCATTTCCCACAATGGAAATGGAACAGGCTATCGCCTAAATACAGAGATTCGCCCTATCTTAATCTCGATGAGCGCATATTGAAGAATTATAGACCACATGGTGTTAACCAGTCTACCAATCAATCAGAAAATGACGAGATTCAACAAAATGACAAGGATGATGACATGGATTTGCCTAAAGACAACTTTCTTCCCCTTCCAACCAGGAAGTCTTTCCACTTCAGTGAAGCAGCGAAAGTGCGAGAGGTTCTTTCCCGAATCCGATCAATGACTTTCTTAATTGATGATGAAATAGCGATTAAAGCTCTCTACAACTCTTTGGTTGAAGCAGAAAACAGTCTGCAAAAGAGTTTAAAGAAGGAAGATGGCATTCCTCTGGAAGTGAAAAAACAAACAAAAAGAAAACATGCCGAAGAAAGCACCAACAACACCACTCTTCCATTACCCACCCAAGCAAATAAGAAACACAAATTCAGTGGACGAGTTCGGAAAGCTGCTAATACCATGAAAAAAACGTATAAAGTTTCCAAATCTATTTATGACATCCCAACAGTCAGTATTACTAATGTGGACATTGACAGCTGCGACAGTGATAGCAATTTTGATGAATTTAAGAACACTGATAAAAATAAAACAACAAAAGATCAAGAAAAAGATAAACAAGGCAGCAATTTGTCAGATTCAGAAAATGATTGTATCCTAACAGAGGGCAGCATCTGTAATGTTATCAAAGATGACGAAGAAGACAACAATAATTATTTATCAGATTCAGAAGTTCAAAATGATTGTATCCTAACAGAGGACGGCATCTGTAATGTCAATAATTTATCAAATTCAGAAAATGATTGTATTATAATATGGAATTCTTTGCCCTCCAAATTAAAATCTGCCTCCTCCTTGGCAAGTTTTAAATTGAATCTAAAGGAGCATCTTATAAGTTGCCAGTCCTAACTGCATTGAATTTAAATCCTCTATTTAAGTTTAATCAGTAACAAACTGAACTAGCTCTGTAAGTTACTGATTAACTTATATCATGCAATAGCAAATAATATTGTCATATAAGTAATTTTAATTTGTATTCATAATTTAATTTCATATAAATGTTATCTATCAAACATATAACATATATATTGTACACATTCTTAATTAATCTACATATTATCTTGTCCAGCTTTTGTAAACATCTTGCCTTTGTGCTGTTACACCAATTATTGTATTATACTTTGATATTCTCTCTTGTAATCAAATAGGTAGCTCAAAAATATAAGCCTTTGGTTTCCTTTTGAGTTGCCTACCATCCAAGAGTACCTTTATTTTGATCAATTTAAAAAATTATATTTCAACTTGAATTATCACACGTTAAGCTATTATATTGTAATATATCCTGTATTCTTGTGTGGTCGAAATGAATAATAAATGATGATGATGATGATGATATAACAGGAGACGGTATCTGTGATGTTCCCAAAAGAAAAAACAGAAAACTGGACAAAAGTGACATTGATTTAATAACATCAGGAGAGATGCTAACAGATAATGTTTAAAGTATTGCCCAAAGTATCCTACACAGGCAGTTCCCTAATGTGAAAGGGTTGGAGGATACAGTACTTGGACCTGTCTTGAACTTTTCAGTAGCTAGAGGGAATTTTGYCCAAGTGCTGCACAATCCAGCAACCAGAAAAAAAGGAGAAGCAATGGAAGGGTGATTGCAGTTCCATTGTTTTGCTCATGCAGAATGCCTTGGAAAGCCACAGAAAACAGCAATCCTGACAAGCATATGGCACAGTGCGACTCTTGCGATGCCTGGTACCACAGAGTATGTGACAACATTCCAGACAAGGTATTCATGAAAGAAGCAATTCAATGGAAGTGTTCTAAATGCACTGCACTTACTCAAGTAAGTTAAGGCCTGGGTCACAAAGCCATGTGTTGAAATCCCATTTAATTTTTATCATTTGCTCAGTTTCCTTTCYATTGATATTATTCACCATTTGCAATAGTTCAACGGGAAAAGGATTACATCATGAGATCACGTGACCTGCAACAGTGAAATTTCGTTATTTTACAATGAGGAATGTTTGCTAACTAAATGTTAAGCTRATAGCACCTGGAAAAGTTGTCTCCTGGTTTTACTTTTCAGGACATTTAAGAAAACAAATTTTGACAAAATGGCCATGTGACCTATTTTCATAAATAACTTCCTAAATATCAATAAATTAAGGACAGGCACATTAACAGGCACATTATTGACATAGCACCTGAAAGACAAGAAACACAGGTTTTTCAAAAAGATTCAATTAAAGGACTGAGTAGGGACTGGAGAGACTTGAGCCTTGATAGTTCTCTTTTTGAAGTAGAAAGCTTTAGAAAGACAAGAAACACAGGTGTTCGCTTTTGAGTATGTTTTAAACTAGCAGCTGCATTTTGAGCAATAGTGTGTAAAACCAAGGTCACGTGGTTAGTGACGTGATTTTTAGTGGATATTTTGCTAAAGTTGTAGAAAATGTCAAATTCTCTACTAATATGRAATTTCATCAAAAATTGTTGTTCCTTTGAACAGATACGATTTATTAATTTTTTTCTTTAGAAGTACACAGGCCTTAACATACTTGAGTAGTCGATTATAGCTCTAATATCAATTGATCAATTACTGCCCTGGCTTATAAAAATGTACATTTTCCCCATCAAAGCAAGAAACTGATGCAGTGATAATTGACAATAAACAATCAATAAAACAAAAAAACAATGACCTTAACAAAAACAATAAAAACGCACAGAAAAAATACTTTCATCACAAAAGTTGAACAAAATATAATTGTCACCACACCACATTGAGGCTKATGATTTTAACTTGTATTCCCATGAAGTCTAAGTGAGGTGACAAGAGAAATTGCAGGGTTATAGTGACTCTCAAATTGGCAAGAATGTATGTCCAGAGCTATATATGGTATTAAATTTTGGTTTTGGCAAGATATTTGTTCAAAAGAGCCTGTTAGTTTTGAACTGCTCAATAGCAGTGGCTCAGATTGATTTGATAGGGGGAAATGTTATATTCTCAAACACATAATCTCCAATATGGCTCATATCTGTCAGCCATCAGTATGTGGACAAACGTTTACAAGAATGATAAAAATGGCATTATCTTAGTTATTTCTTGCTGCTACATGTATGCGGAATGTGAATGGTCCGAAATATAAAACTTTAGAACTATATAAAAGATTCATTGGTAGATATGCAGCATTCTTAGCTCTTTTTGAATTGCAGAAATACCCCTCCACTGGGGCTATATTTTTCTAGATATACATGTAGGTCTTAGGCCCTATGCTGGTTCGACGTCTAAACYGGGCCTTAATTTGTACAATTTGTAAATCTTTGAATTTCATCATGTCATTATGTTGACTACATAACTTTGCTTTAGTAATTTAAAGTTTATAAGTACCAAATAATATGTAGTATGTGGTTGGTGGTGTGTATGCTCTCCATCCCCAGGGGGGGAACTTGGGGGTTAACATGACGTGGGGGGGGGAGTCCAATGGAGCTCCATATTGCAACCCCAAAAAAATACACAAGCCTCAAATTTTAGACCCAAAAAATACATGA